AGCTCAAGGCTAGCACTCTACCACTTGAGCCACAGCCCCACTTCTGGCTTTTTTCTTTTTGCTTATGTGGTGCTGAGGAATCGAAACCAGGGCCTCATGCCCACAAGGCAAGCGCACTACCACTGAGCCACCTTCCCAGCCCCTGAACTTGGTATCTGATGCTGTCACTCACTGGCTGGCATTTTAGACATAAGCCATATCTCCAAACCTTATTTTCAATTTTTTATGTTGAATTTCTACAATATGTATAAAATATGTTCATTTATAAAATGGAATTTTATGACATTATGGAGCAATTGTTTTAAATACTTTTTATCAAATTTCTAACGCTTATTATAAAACATAATCTGATATGCAAAACTACATTGCCTATTATACAAAATGAATGAAAATCTGAGAAAGATGAGATGGAACTATCACATAATTATAGAATAAACAAGTCAACAGTGGGAAAAAAAGCAGTAGAGCAAGTCCCCAATTAAGTAAGAGTAAAGGCAACATGTAAAGTGTTTCTTTCATAAAAGAACAGAAAAACTTCAAAGTAAGGAAAGTTAAGAAAAAAAATATAGGAAAAAGGTTGTAAAGAATTCTTTAGACAGAACTTCTTTCAGTCAGCTACTTTATTAACTGGGAAAATCATAATCTTTCTATATATCAAGTAAAACCACTTACACTAAAATTCATTTAGTGTAGGACTAGAAGTGTAGCTCAGTAACATCCTGTTACTAACATCCTCATACCCATCTTCAGAGGGAAAGAAAGATGAGGAAAATAGAGATAAGTTACTGCACTTGTGCACAGGTGATCAATTTTCTCAGCTAATGTGCTTGGCAAGTTTTCCTAGTCACCTGTAGTACACTGTTAATTACAGGTTATTTTAGGATATCCTACAATGTCTTTTGTGATTTCTAGACTTTTAGAAGGGGTTTTTAACTGCGTGACAAATACTTCTTTCCAGTAGAACTTTTTTTTTTTTGGTTGGTTGTGGGGCTTGAACTCTTCTTGGCTTGGGTGCTGTCCCTGTGCTCTTTAGCTCAAGGCGAGTGCTCTACCACTTGAGCCACATTGCCACTTCCAGTGCTTTATTGGAGATAAGAGTCTCATGGACTTTCCTACCCACGCTAGCTTTGAGCCATGATCCTTAGATCTCAGCCTCCTGAGTAGCTAGGATTACCGGTATGAGCCACTGGAGCCCAGCTCCAGTAGAACTCTTTAAGCATTATAGATATGTATGAAAAACATTTAAATATATTTGACTGATGAAGATCTAGTTTTACCTAAAATTATTTGGTCTATGAAATGACTACCACAACAATTTAGATAGCAAGACAATCTAGGAAAGGCACTCCTTAATTCATTTGCAGTTAAAAATTTATTTATCAGAAGCAACATGTATATATCTTGCTTTAGGATGTCAAACATTCTCCCTACTTCTATTCAACTGGTTTTTACTGATTTTTCCCTGCAGACTATTTTATGTTTCAAAGTTATTAGCTAAGGTCTCCTATTTTTCTCTTCATAACACTTCCTATAATTGTAACTCATTTTTAATTTAATTCTTTAGGAATCTTCCACATCTATGTAAGATCTTTGTTAGAAGAATACAATCTTGGCAAGAGACAAGAAACCTTTGCACATACATCCTTGGCTCAATTTTAGAGAGAACTATTGCTCACTTCACAGATTACAATACCATTTCTTACACAGGTTCCAATAACAATCCTGCTCTGTAAGGAAAAAGAAGTTGAAACAGGAAAAATTTACAATGGTTGAACACAAATTTTTTAATTATTGCATGTTTGCATTTCCATTCTCCCTATCCCTCTTTCCCAAAGAGCTGAGAAACTCCCTATCACTTATGTTTTTTTAAAAAAAGAAAGAAGGGCTGCTAGAGAGGTGCTATTATCAACATAAAAAAAAAAAAAAAGGCTGTGGGTGCCAGTGGCCTACGCCTGTAATCTTTGCTGAGATATGAGGATCACGGTTCAAAGCCTACCCACGCAGTTAAGCCCATGAGACTCTTATCGCCAATAAACCACTCAGAAAACTGGAAGTGGCAATGTGGCTCAAGTGGTAGAGTGCTAGCCTTGAGCTGAAGGACTGTGCCCAAGTCCAGAGTTCAAGCACCAGGACCGGACCAAAAAAAAAAAAAAAGAACTTTTAGCCAGCATGATAGCTCATACTTGGAGGTCAGCCAGGGCAAAAAACCCATCTCAACTTTTATAAACCAATAAAGGTTTTGCGTAAGCCTGCCAGGCAAATATTCAGAAAAGAAAAAAAAAAAAAAAAGGTAAAATGGGCTGGAGGTGTGGCTCAAATGGTAAGAGTACTCTGAATTCAAATCCTAATTACTACCCATACCAAAAGAAACCTATTATGCTGCTTGCCACAAGCAATCTGAAAATATTTAAAACATTCAGCAATACAGGGAATAAGAGCGTAGAAATATGTAAAAAAGTAGACAAAATATACTAAGTATGGTTTCATAAATTTTTTTTTTGGTTGGTCATGGGGCTTGAACTCTGGGCCTGAGCACTGTCCTTCAGCTCTTCAGCTCAAGGCTAGCCCTCTACCACTTGAGCCACAGCGCCACTTCCGGTTTTCTGGTGGTTTATTGGAGATAAGAGTTTCATGGACTTTCCTGCCTGGGCTGGCTTTGAACCATGATCCTCAGATCTCAGCCTCCTGAGTAGCTAGGATTACAGGCTTGAGCGTGAACCATCGGTGCCCAGCTCAGATGTAGCAATTTTAAGACAAAGTAGTTTTCACTTTACAGCAGCTCAAGAAAAAATGTAACAGAAATACATAATAAAAGAAACCTGAACTGAACCCAGTAATACTTCATGCTGCCATTACTAAAACCAAAGGAAGATTAATCAATTGTTAATCAAAGTATACTATTAGACCAATGCCTGACACTAGCACACTAAAGACAGTTAAAGTGCAAAGAAAAAGGTCACCTCTAGTAGTATTCACAAGGTAGAACTCGCGGCTAAAATATGAGAAAAGCTAAATAATAATAATGATAAAAGCAGCACAGAGAGCAGGCTTTAAGGAGTGATGAAGGACAACATAGAAGCCTTGAGGGCAGTACATGAAGCATTCACAGCTGCCTGGAGTGGAATCATTTGCTTCACTGCTTTTAACTGATTACTCTTCCTTTCATTGCACTGTATTTTTAGGGTCTTCTGCATTGCTTGAATTACTTTGTTTTTAAATATCTGGACTGGCAGTGGGTATTTAATATTCGGTAGGAGACTCAAATCTATTAATATGTTCCACTGCTAAAGGACTGCTGATTGAACAGAAAATAGCAGGCCATCTCTCCCTTTAAGAAAGATAGATTTATGGGTTCGGAAGGTGGCTCAGTGGTAGAGCGCTTGCCTTGCATGCATGAGGCCCTGGGTTTGATTCCTCAGCACCACATAAGCAAAAAGAAAAAAGCCGGAAGTGGCGCTGTGGCTCAAGTGGTAGAGCGCTAGCCTTGAGCTGAAGAGCTGAGGGACAGCACCCAGGCCCAGAGTTCAGGCCCCATGACCGGACCGCCCCCCCCCCAAAAAAAAAGATTTAGGGGCTAGGAAGGTGGCTCAGTGGTAGAGCGCTTGCCTTGCATGCATGAGGCCCTGGGTTCGATTTCTCAGCACCACATAAGCAAAAAGAAAAAAAGCCGGAGTGCCGCTGTGACTCAAGTGGTAGAGCGCTAGCCTAGAGCTGAAGAGCTGAGGGACAGCACCCAGGCCCAGAGTTCAGGCTCTTGACCGGACCCCTCCATCCCCCAAGAAAAAGGATAGATTTTAGATATGCAAATGTGTATAAAGTTCTTTTGAGAGCTCAGTCCTTCGGTAACCATGTGTCTGCTACTAGAGAGGCTATATTCCCTTCTCTTGTGACCTCTCTACCTCAACCACTCTGGATTTGGGTGGTTGGTCACTTTGGCTTAGTAACTGAAATCTTGATCAGTAGTTTTCAAATTGTGCTCCAAGGAGATGCTCTGAGGTAGAGGGACTGTTGAGTGGATGGGCAAAGGCTGGCTCTACTAAACACAGATCCACCAGAGCATGCTGTTTTATATACTGGAATTCCCGGTCAGCATTCAGAGGAAGAAACTGTTACTCTTGAAAACCAAATAGTAGGTCTGGATAGTCTGACCTAATAGCTTGTCTGGAAACTATTTCAAAACCACTCAGTGTGTTTTAGGCACTCCCCCTCCCTACTCACCCCCCCCGGCCCACTTCTTTTCTTTTTTCCCCTTAGCGCTAGGGAATTAAACCCAGGGCTTCAAGAAAGCCTAGGGAGAATGCCTAGGGAAGGACTCAATCTCTCAGCTACATCTTCAGCCACCCAAACACTCAATTTTATATTTTTTGAAAGTAGGTATTTGAATGGAACACGTTAAATTTTTACATCTCCTTTTACCCTTACTTTACAGACGCTGAAATAAGTATTTAAGGGTCAATGAGTTATGTCAACTTAATTTAGCCTGAAAACATCGGAGATTTTCCTATTTCCATATATTGATGGTCTATTTTTCACCATATGCCAATCGGACTGGGCATGGCTAACACTACATGTGGACTGGCTCAGGGGGTTAATAGGGCTTTAAAAGAGCGGCTGGACTGACAAGCAAAAAGCATGCGGCCACTAAGGTTTTTAAACCGTAAGGGAAGAGATGTACAGCGTATTTCCTAACGGTAAAGGCTTTCAGTCCAGTAAAGAATTCCATTTCCTTCACTCTGTTGAGGCCAGTCTGATCTTGGCTTTGGGAAAACCTTCGAAGGTCTCTCCCTTAAGTGGAAAGGTAAGGATTCCCCTGAGGCAAGAAGACTCGGGTCTGGTCGCCTCTTCCCTGCTTCGGGAAAATGAAGGCCAGCGAGAAGGCAAGCCTGGGAGTTGTGGAGACCGAGGCGGCAATACTGGGAACGCGGGCCGAACCTGCACCGTCCCTGCGACCCCCGGGCCTGTCAACTCCCCCACCGCACGATTCTTCCGTTTCCACTTACCAGGTGGAAGCTAAGGTCTCCGGCACGGAGTAAGAACCCGAGGTGGATCGGATGGAGCTCCGCTCCTTACAGCCGAGGCTGAGAGGAGGCTGAAACCCTGCGGCCGCAGCCGTCGCCACCGCCTCTGTTACTGGGGGGTCTCGCCTCCATCGCTGGCTGCGAGGTCTCGGAGGGCACGTGACCGGAAGCACCAAGGCGGGCCCGGAGATCACGTGACCGCCGAGCGCGGCCGCCATGACACCTTCCGCTAGTTGCCGCCCTCCCCCACTGGTTCCCGCCTGTTTCGTTTCCTCTCTCGGGTCTTCAGTGGGGAAAGGTCCGGGGATCCGATCTGGCCCATCGTTTCGCCGAGAGCTCCTTCGGCTCAGTTCAGTGGCGTATCTTCGGCCCGTGGATGGCCCCCGGTTGCAGGCCGTAGGGAGCGTAATTGCCACCGCGGCCTGAAGGGGGGGGGGGAGGAGGGACCACGCGCGGGGCGGGGCGTAGCTGGCCACGTGACGAGGAAGTGCCGTTAATAGCGTTGTACTGGCGTCCGTGGCGCTCCTGGATGACGTAGCCAGGGAGGGGCGGAGCAAGCGCGGAGACTGAAGTTTGGGATCCAGTCTGAGAGCCCGGTGAGTGAAGCGGCTCCTAAACCGTGGAGAGGGTGCGACTCCTTGCAGGCTGTCAGCCGCCGGCCTGGGATGGACGGGGTTTTGATGGGACCTCTGGCTGCTGGTTCATGCACCTGGCTTTAAAAACTTGGCTATCTGAGTCCTCTCCTCGTGAAAGCTAAATTCAGTATTACAATTACCGCTGTTGGAAAGGTGGTAGTTTTGCCAATCGAGAAGCTTCGTGTGGCCTTTGGAACTGTATTTTGTTCATCTCGTCTCCAGTGGTTAGTGCAGGCCTTAGAACAACTCAGGTTGTTGAGAGAATGAATGCATGAAGGTGAACCGTTTTTTCCCTGAGATGAAGAGCTCTCTTTATTTTTTCCCCCCCGATCATTATTTCAGAGATCACTTTAGGGAAATAAAATTTCCTAGATTCCTCTTGCATCATTTTGTTCTTTAATAAACAGAACTTTATTTTCCTTTAATACAAAAGTTAAATAGCAAGGGTTTTTTTTTTGTACAGTTGATAAATTAGAAATTTACAGTACAGACATCCATGCAGAATCATTTCGTTCTTTTCTTTGTCTCTGACCTCCCCTTCTCAGGCACTTCTGTATCTGGTTATTGTTAAGTTACCTGCTTCCCTTTCCTTTTTGCTTTAGATAAAAGCAGTCAGTGCTATTTCCCCTAGGAAGTGCCTCCTACTTACTCAGCTTGCTTGCTCAGGGCTGGTGATGTAACTTTTTTTTGGGGGGGGGGTCTGGTCGTGGGGCCCGAACTCTGGGACTGGGCGCTGTCCCTCAGCTCAAGGCAAGCACTCTACCACTGAGCCACCTTCCCAGCCCCACTTTTTTTTTTTAAACCGGTCCTAAGGCTTGAACTCTGGGCCTGGGTGCTGTCCCTGGGCTCCTTTTGCTCGAAACCAGCACTCTACCACTTGAGCCACAGTGCCACTTCCTGTTTAATTTTTTTAGATTTTTTTTTCTGTGATTAGTTGGAGACAAGAGTCTCACAGACTCTCCCTTGGACCACCACTGACCCTCAGATCTCAGCCTCCTCACTAGCTAGGATTACAGGTGTGAGCCACTGGCACCTCACTGTGCTCTGACTCTTGAACTATACCTTCAGCCTATCTTTTTGCTAGTTATTTGGGAGATGGAATCTTGAGAACTTTCTCCCTAGTGCTCACTTTGAACCATGATCCTTCCATGTCAGTCTCCTGAATAGCTGGGATTACAGACATGATCCACCAGCACCAAGTATGGAAGAAGTTTCTTAGATTAAGAATTCTCAAATATTTTAACTGTGTATTTCATTTGTTTTGTGTCTTGGAACACCATTGTCACAGAGGTTATACTAAGGACAATATTATTAGCAGGAAACAGACTGTATTATATGTATACAAGAAAAAATACACAACAAGAGCTGGTCATGCACCTACCTAGCACATATATTATATATGTTTAAAAATATTTATATTTTGTGGCCATCCAGTGATGTGTTCAAATTATATTCTTGCAGGCTTTTTTTCAGGTGAGGAATACTGTGTCTATCACTGAACAACTTTCATCTTCTTGGATAAATGACTTTTGTGCCAGTGATACCAGAATCCTACAGCCATGTTCTTGCAGAGTTTGAGTCATTGGATCCATTACTCTCAGTCCTGCGGCTGGACTCCAGTCGTCTAAAGGTGAACTTATATTAGTTTCATTTTTGTGTTCTTTCTGTTACATTTGCCTCTGCCCTCTAGTCTTTATTTTGTGGATCTTGGTGATCTTACCTGTTTTTGCCATACCTTATGTAGAAGTAGCATATTCTTTCTTAATTTATTATTTTTTGAGCTGTCATTTGAATTATTTCCTAGCCATGATACTGATTATTTAATTTTTCTCCTTGTCAGTAATCTTGCTGTCTTCCTTCAGAAAGCAATATATAGTACTGAAGTTAAAATAGTGTAAATGGGTATGTGTCATGACACTTTGAAAAACATGACCTACTGCAGTTATTCCAAACCAGGGAGTTTGATACAACCCTGTTTTAGGGGGCAAATATGAACTCTGGGAAGCACATGCTTTCTGGATTCTTTTGATTAAATCTAGGAATAATGTGGTGGAGAACAAAGTAATACAGTAAAATGGTCAGCGATTTTTTTGTTTGTTTGTTTTTGTTGGTTGTGAGGCCTGAACTCTGGGCCTGGGTGCTGTCCCTCAGCTCTTCAGCTCAAGGCTAGCACTCTACCACTTGAGCCACAGCGCCACTTCCAACTTTTTCTGCTTGTGTGGTGCTGAGGAATCGAACCCAAGGCCTCCTGCATGCAATGCAAGCACTCTACCAGTGAGCCACCTTCCCAGCCCATGGTCAGCAGTTTTGAGGATTGATAATTTAGAAATATTTTTAAGCTACAAGATTTTGGTACTCTCTTTAGAGATTAGTGAGCTTGTTGGGCTTAGTGATGGTAGTCTAATGTCAGTATGCAGGCTCTCCATCTTTCCTGTTCTACTACATCCATTTATTTTAGTCACAGTTGTAATACATGTATCCTGGCTCCTGTACAAATATCTCCATTAGCTTCCTCAGCAAGATTGAGAGGGCCTACCAGATACTATATTGAAAATGAACAACTTGTGGGTGGGGACTGGAGGGAAAAACTGGAGAGAGTGAGGGAAGGGTTAACATTGTCCAAAAAGAAATGTACTCATTACCTGACTTATGTAACTGTGACCCCCTCTGTACATCATATTTATAATAACAATTAAAAAATAAAGCATTCAATTAGAAAAAAAGAATGAAAGGGCCAAAGAAAAAGTTTTCTTCAGATTGCCTTTCATGTGGAAGTTAGAGCTTCCTAAGAAGCCCTCATCAGGCTGGGACTGAATCACATGGCTACTCCTGGCTGTAGGGGAAACTGAGAAAGTGAACATGTAGGTTTTTCCTTTTCTGTGGTAGAAAGTAACAAAGTTGAAGGGTATTGACAATGGTTCTTAGCCAACCAACCACACTTTTGTGGCAAGGAATTTGATACAACATAGCAACCACTTTGTCTGGTCTATCAAGAGAGAAATCAGCAGGCTGAGGGTATGGATGGAGACATGGTAGCCCAGCAGACCTGCATCTGTGTCTTCTGAGGTCTAAGGGGTATGGTTGTTTTGTGGTGATTGTATAGACTAAATGATTAATGTGGTTACATGATCCCCTGATAACTTTATTGGTTTTCCCCTGTTGCGGACTGCATTGGAATGACCTAGCTAGATTACACAAAATATGAATGGTCTAATAACAGAAAAATTACTTACGCAATTGAGCCTAGTCAGCCTTTTTAAAAGTTTAGAAACAGAATGTTCTTTGTTTGATATTTTTCAGAATGTTAGAATTAGAGGATGAATGCCATTATATTGTATCCATCTCAGCAGGGAGTGGAATGGGGAAAGAAGGAAACAGCACAGATCCTCTAGATTTATTGCCAGGAGACTATGTTTTTGGTTACATGCTTAATTATCTCACCTGTGCCTCCACATGTTTTTAGTGCACAAGCATAGCTGTGTCTCGGAAATGGTTGGCATTGGGCAGTTCAGGAGGAGGACTCAATCTCATTCAGAAAGAAGGCTGGAAGCACAGACTTTTTCTTTCACACAGGGTAAGACCAAGGGCAACCCTGTCATCTATCATGAGGAGTATCTTTCATAAATGTGAATTTCTCCACTATAATGAATCATTTTGGATAAGAGAAGAATGTAAAATTAGAGATTTAAAAAAATGTTTTTCCCTTGGTGCTTTAGGAAGGTGCAATAGCTCAGATTGCATGCTGTTCACATGATGATGATTATGTTGCTGTAGCTACCAGGTAAGAAGCTGTTTTAAAAGTATCTGGTCTTTCCAAATGCATTTTAAATCAACAAGTGTGTTTGTTAGGGTCAGTAACCATTTCAGTTTGCCCGAACTGTTCCCGTGTTAGCATTGAACTATCTGTGTGTTGGGAAACCTTTCAGTACCTATTTATCCACGTGGACATTTGATCAACCTAATGTTTGTGAAACATGTTAATTAAGGTGACAATACTCTAAAGGCCTTAAAAAAGGGAACAGATAATTTAGAACACTTAAGTCCTATTTCACTGTTTTGTTGACTAAAACAAGGAAGTGAAGTCCTTGACTTTTTGCTTCCTTTTTCCTGAAGAACAGGAGTTACTGTCATTGATGTTGTAATGCCATAAAATTGTATATTTACCACTGCCAAAAATTTGTTTCTTGTGAACTTAATTTTTCAGTCAAGGTCTTGTAGTTGTTTGGGAATTAAATCAAGAGCGTCGTGGAAAACCAGAACGAATTTATGTGTCTTCAGAACACAAAGGCCGAAAAGTTACAGCACTCTGTTGGGATACAGCTATTCTTAGAGTTTTTGTAGGTGATCATTCGGGAAAAGTTTCTGCCATCAAACTCAACACTTCTAAACAAGCAAAGGTGAGGATCCACTCTAGCTTTCTATGTATGTGCTGAGCAAAAAACATGTTCTTACGGAACTTTAAGTTATATACACAATTTCATCAACTATTCCTTGGAAGAGATCTAAAGCTCAGATGTAGATTTTTTGAGTTGTAGTACTTGCAGTAGCCTATTTTAACCACTTTCTTTGTCTTTTTTTTTTTTCTTTTCAGTAGTAGGGCTTAAAAAACTGAGGGCCTCATATATTAAGCTGATGCTCTGCAGCTGAGCAATGCTTTTAGCCCTGGTAGCCTATTTTAGTTTGCTATTTTTGTATAATGGTTTCAATAATTTGCTTATAATCTATTCCATTACTCCTTAATTTGTTTTTATGGCTCATTTAAATAAAGTATTTTTTAACACTGAGCTATTAACAAGTAAAAGATGTCCATTTATTGGTTTGTGGATCAAATGTTAAATATAGAAATGGCACCAGTTGCTCATGCTCATGGCCCCTGTGTAAAGTAACTTATGGGTATAGGATTATTTTTTCTCAAGATGGCTTCCTGCTACACTTACTCAGACATTCAGGTTACAGATCAACTACATGTGATCCTGCTCCCCTAAGGCCATTGTAGCAGAAGTGAAGAGGTAGTGGTGTGTGTATGTGTGTGTGTACAAGTGTGCACACACACACACACACACAAAAGCACCAGTATTGCACTGTCCCTGAGCTTATTTGCTCAAGGCTAGTTTCTAACACTTGCTTTTTGGTGGCTAATTGGAGATAAAAGTCTCATGGACTTTACTGCCCTGGCTGGCTTTGAACCACCATCCTCAGATCAGGAGGCTGAGTAGCTAAGACTATGCCATGAGTCACTGGTACCTGGCAGGAATTTGTCTCATATTGTATTCCTATGTAGAATCATGGCAGAAGAAGCATTCTAGCTACTATTTGACTAAATTCTGCCTTAATAAATACATCAGAGCCGGGCACCAGTGGCTCACGCCTGTAATCCTAGCTACTCAGGAGGCTGAGATCTGAAGATCATGGTTCAAAGCCAGCCCGGGCAGGAAACTCCGTGAAACTCTTATCTCCAATAAACCATCAGAAAACCGGAAGTGAAACTTATCTCCAATAAACCCGTCAGGAAACAGCAAGTGGCGCTGTAGCTCAAGTGGTAGAGCCTTATCCTTGAGTTGAAGAGCTGAGGGACAGCGCCCAGGCCCAGAGTTCAAGCCCCACGACCAACAAAAATAAATAAATAAAATAAATACATCAGACTATTCTTCTAGCTTTGACCATCAGAATCTATCAGAGTTGTCATTTGATTCCTAATATATTTTCAAATCCTACACATTGTCTAGAATTAATTTGTATTTTTTCCAAAGGGAGTTGAATTTGTCAGTTCGTGAAAAATTCCCTCATGTTTCAGACTAGGTTTATCTTTTATATTTCCTCCTGTAAAATTAGGTAGTTACAAACAGAGCCTTAAATTTTTCTTTAATTATGTATCACATTATTTCACAACCTTTTTTTAAATTTTTATTTAAAATCTTTTTTCTATAGTAAAGATACTGTACAGAGAGGTTACAGTAATGAGTACATTTCCTGTGGATCATTGTTACCCTCTTCTTTGTTTTTCCCCTACCATCCCTTCCATCCCCAACTCCCCTACTCTTCCCCCCTCCCAAATTGTAAAGTTTGTCTTCAACATAGTGTCTTGTACATCTCATTGCTACAATGTGTCAACCTGTATCCTTTTTCCAGCATTCTGTTATTTCACTTCCCCTTCCCAAATTAGAAACATCACAAACCTTTTAAGTAAAGCTTCCCATAATTTTGAAGGAAAAAAATTAAATTTTGATTTATTTTAAAATTTTATTTTAAAAGTTAATTCTATTTAAAAGGTGAGTAGGAGGAGATTATGTGTAGATGAAGTAAACATTTTCTTCTCTTGTCATTTTTAGGCTGCTGCAGCATTTGTGATGTTTCCTGTTCAGACTATAACAACAGTTGACTCCTGTGTTGTACAATTAGATTATTTGGATGGGAGACTGCTTGTGTCTTCACTTACTCGATCCTTCTTGTGTGACACTGAGAGGTATACTGACCAACCATGAGTCATCAGATATGTAAAATTTTAGTGTCTTTGAAATTAACCCACACTCTCCCAATTAATTATACAGATAATAATAAGGAACCAGTTAATTACAAGCTGACAGAAGTAGAGAGCAAGTAGAAGAAATTGAAATTGTTCAGTGGATAACTAAGACATGAATTTAATGAACCCTATCATGAGGCTTATTGTAAGTGTCAGGAAAGAAGGCCAAAGGCTTGTTTTAATATAGGGAATCACAAAGGCTTCCTAGATTTTTATTGTTGTTATTTTTAAAAATTACTGTGTATTTAATAGAATTGTACTAAGGGTAAATTAGATGAAGAATTATTCAGAACTTAGTGAATCTTATAGATATTTCACCAAAATCTCAAGGGTAGAACAACAGCTACAATGAGTGGCAGGGGAATACTTAGAGGTAGTTATGAAGTGTCAAAACAGAATAGGAAACAACTTGAAATGAGTATACTGTAACACTGTGTCAATGTTCCTCAGCTGTTTTCATTACCTCGAAATTTTTACTGGACATTTTTTTCCCTCCACTGGCTCTGGCTAGTTTAGTTCTCAGGATAATCCCATCTTGAAAACATGTGAGAGAAATTTTTGAGCATACACAAAACAAAGGAGAATTGTATAATGAACCCCCATGTATACATTTCACAGAGTTTTGGCTAGGTGTGTTGCAGAAAGAGAAGGTCTCTCCTTTTTTGTCACTCATGGGGCTTTCACTAAAGGCCCAGGAACTGTCCAGAGCTTTTTCACTCAAGGCTAATGTTTTACCACTTTGAGCCACAGCACTACTTCCAGTATTCTGGTGGTTAATTGGAGGTAAGAGTCTCACAGACTTTCCTGCCCAGGCCAGCTTTGAACCATGATCCTCAAGTGTTAGCCACCTGAGTAGTTAGGATTACAGGTGTGAGCCACCGGTGCCTGGTTAAGAAAGAGTCTTTTTCTGTTAGCTAGAATTCAACTTGAGGGATCATAGAAAGCACATGAATTAAAATTTTCTTTGAAAATGTAGAAAGTAAGTTTAATGAGATACACAAATAAGAATGAGTTGACTATATTCTTCAGCAACATTCATAGAATTGAAGTTTTAAGCCAGTCTGGGCAGGAAGGATCTGTGAGAGTCCCAGGATAAAGCAAGACTGGAGGTGTGGCTCAAATGATAGATCACTAGCCAATCAAGCAAGTCCAGCAAGTGTGGAATCCTGAGTTCAAGTTTCAGTACTGTCAGAAAAAACCCAAAACAGCCGGGGTACCGGTGGCTCATACCTGTAATCCTAGCTACTCAGGAGGCTGAGATCTGAGGATCACAGTTCAAAGCCAGCCTGGGCAAGGAAAGTCTGCGAGACTCTTATCTCCAATAAACCACTAGAAAACCAGAAGTGGTGCTGTGGCTCAAGCGGTAGAGCGCTCGCCTTGAGTTGAAGAGCTGAGGGATAGCGCCCAAGCCCAGAGTTCAAACCCCACGACCGACCAAAAAACCCAAAAAACAACCCCCCCCCCCCCAAAAGGCATATAATTCAGTATGTTGGAGTCAATCACGTTTCTCAATAAGAATGATGGAGGCAAGTCATGAAGAGTACAGAAGTGTTTAGGGTGGCTGGGAAGGTGGCTCAGTGGTAGAGCACTTGCCTTGCATGCATGAGGCCCTGAGTTCGATTCCTTAGCACCACATATGCAAAAAGAAAAAAGCCGGAAGTGGCGCTGTGGCTCAAGTGGTAGAGCGCTAGCCTTGAGCTGAAGAGCTGAGGGACAGCGTCCAGGCCCAGAGTTCAGGCCCCACGACCGGATTCCCCCCTCCCCCCCCCCCAAAAAAAGACATGTTTAGGAACAGGCAACTAATTTTCAGTTCCTGTATTCTCAGGAACATATCTAACTTATATAATCCTAAAGGAACAGAATGCTCTAAGGTACAGTTTCAGAAGGACCTGGAATTTTGAAGAATGTGAGGAGTTTACTGGGTGTTTGCACTGAGTGCGTGGCTTGGAGACAGCGTTGGAGAAACAGATTAATAGCTTCCATAGAAAGCCCAAAGAATAATGTGTACTGTTCAAAATGACTTGGGAGCCAGGTGCTGGTGGCTCATGCCTGTAATTCTAGCTACTCTGGAGTCTGAGATCTGAGTATCAAGATTCAAAGCCAGCCTGGACAGGAAAGTCTGTGAGACTTTTATCTCCAATACATCACTTAGAAAACTGGAAGTGGCACTGTGGCGCAAGTGATAGAGCACTAGCCTTGAGCTGAAGAGCTCAGGGACAGCGCGCAGGCCCAGAGCTCAAGCCCCATGACCAACAAAAATTAAAAAAAATAAGATCTAATTTTAAAAAATGACTTTGGAAAGCAACTAGTAGTATGAAGTGGTTTGGTAGCACCTCTTAAATCTGAAATAGGCCTTCCCATTAATTCTGAGCCTCTAATGCTGTGGATAAAAATATTCTTGAGTACTATATAGTGAAGAGATTTACTTCCTGTCACAGAAATAGTGACAAATCACAGTCAGCAGCTTCAGTTATTTAGTGTATTACTAAATTATTTAGTATATTACTAAATTTAGTATATTACTATTTAGTATATTACCAAGGAAGAGAACATTTCAGATGGTATTATCATAGCTATGCTGATTTATAGGCTTATTGATTTTTATACTTTGTCAATAATTATACTTCCTTTTTTATCCTCTGGATATTAGAGAAAAGTTTTGGAGAATTGGAAACAAGGAAAGAGATGGGGAATATGGAGCTTGTTTCTTTCCTGGAAGATGTTCTGGTAACCAGCAACCTCTGATATATTGTGCTCGTCCTGGCTCTAGGATGTGGGAAGTGAACTTTGATGGGGATGTTATCAGTACCCATCAGTTCAAGAAACTCCTCTCATTGCCACCTCTCCCTGTGATTACTCCAAGGTAGTGATCTACATGGCTTGTTGGGAGTATTTGAGAACTTTGTATGGAGGGGTTAAGTTAAAGTCTCTTATATTCTGTATGTGTTAAAGATTTTACTATGCCTTGTAAGAGTAGATTTTATTTTTTTGGTGGGGATGTGGGTGCTGAGGTTGAACTCAGGGCTTTGAATTTGCTGTGCTGACACTTTGTTACTTGAAACATACCTCCAACCCAGCTTTTAGCTGGTGATTTTGGAGATAGGGTCTAATGAACTTTTTTGCCCAGGCTCCCCTCAAACCATAATTCTCCAGATCTCAGCTTCCTGAGAAGTTAGGCAGGAGCTACCAATGCCCAACTTAGAATTTTTATCCAAAACTACAGTGAATCCCCCAAAAGTCAATTATCTTTTTGTTGTTATTATTGTTGTTGTTTGTAAGGCTTGAACTCTGGAACTGGGCACTGTCCCTGAGCTCTTCAGCTCAAGGCTAGTATTCTACCACTTGAGCCATAGCACCACTTTGAGTTTTCTGGTGGTTAATTGGAAATAAGAGTCTCACAGAAGCCGGGTGCTGGTGGCTCATGCCTGTAATCCTAGCTACTCAGGAGGCTGAGATCTGAGGATCGTGGTTCAAAGCCGGCCCAGGCAAGGAAAGTCCGTGAGACTTTTATCTCCAATTAACCACCGGAATGCTGGAGTGGTGCTGTGGCTCAAGTGGTAGAGCGTTAGCCTTGAACTGAAGAGTTGAGGGACAGTACCCAGGCCCAGAGTTCAAGACCCATGACTGACAAAAAAAAAAAGTCTCACGGACTTTTCTGTCTGGGCTGGCTTTGAACCATGATCCTCAGATCTCAGCCTCCTGAGTACCTAGGATTGTAGGAGTGAGCCACCAGCACCCGGCTCAATTATTTTTCTTATGCTTAAAGTGAATTTAATCAGGACAGATGCAGTTAGGCTCTTGAATTTGCTTTGGAGGCGAACTTGTCATTTATTGGGAAATGTATAATTTTATATTGTGATTAAATCATTAGAGATCTGTTTATCTTCTAGATCAGAACCTCAGTATGATCATATGGTTGGATCCACCCAGTCTTTGTCATTCCCTAAACTCTTGCATTTTAGGTAAGTTTCTCCTGTGGGTTTTTTTTTCTCTTGGTCAGAGGCCTTCTAAGTGAGTGCTGTATATAATTACACTCCAGCCAGTTACTTTAAATTTTTCCTTTTTTTTTTTTTTGGTGATGCTGGGATTCAAGCCCATTTTCAGCAAGGGCTATACCACTGAGCCATGCTCCAAATCCACCCTACTTCCCCTCATCTGTGTTTTTTGGTTTTTGTTGAGACAGGGTCTCACTATGTTGTCCACTGTGTTGCTGTCTTCAAACTCCTGCAATCAAGCAGTCCTTCCACCATAGCCTATCAAATATCTGGAATTTTAGACACATGACACCATACCCAGGCCCCATTGACTTTTTTCCTTGCTTTTGAGACAGGGTCTTCATCTGTAGCCCAGGCTTGCTTAAAACTCACATTCCTCATGTCCCTGTCTCCTGAGTGCTGGTATCATAGGCATGAACCTGTTTAGCTTTTTTCTAAATTATTTTCATAAAGTTAGGAAAAGACTATTGTTACATGAAGCTTTCTGTGTATAAGAGAAATTGGTGGCTGGGAATGTAGCTTAGTGGTAGAGTGCTTGCCTAGTGTGCATGAAGCCGTGGGTTTGATTCCTCAGTATCACATAAATAGAAAAAGCCAGAAGTGGTGCTTTGGCTCAAGTGGTAGAGTACTAGCCTTGAGCGAAAGATACTCAGGAACAGTGCCTAGACCCTGAGTTCAAGCCACAGGACTGAAATAAAAAAGAGAGAGAAATGAAAAGATCCTTTCCAAACCAATTAGAGAGTTTATACGTGTCAGGGAACATCTGGCAGTTTAGAGCTATTAGCTATAGGCACTCATTTTCTTATAACCTCCCATACCTGTAGGGTACTTGCTATAATGAAAGTAAGTTCTGGTCTGCAATCAGCCAAAAGATATGCTTTTATTAGCAAACAGGCACAAAAAATAGTAGTAGAACTTGTTTGGAAACCCAGTGAAATTTCAGCTCTCAGCTCTCAGCTGACAAGTAGTTTGAATGAACTACTCAAGGCAGCCTCAGCCATATTCCAGTTTCAGAGTTGTCTAGCTGTCTAGTTGCATTAGCTACAAAATTTGGTACAAAATTTGTTGTAACACAGAGTGCTACTATTCTGCCTGGCTTGCCAGTTCTTACATGTAGTTTAACAAGGATGGAGGTGCTGGGTATGATTTCAATCTGTGTGCTTGAACTCTATTTATTTAATTAGCGAAAAGTTTTTTCTAATCTCCTTTATGCTAGTTAATAAGATATCTAAAAAAAAATAAGATATCTAATGCAGACTTAAAGAATATTATGTAGAGATTTTTTTATAGGATGCACTGGAGGATGTATACCTAATTGGATTCTTTTAAAAGGTCACTAACTACTTTTAAAAAAATAACATATATTATGTAAATAATATAGAAAAATGTTAATTGTTCCTAAGAGTAAGGATAAAAAATGAATTACCCATGTACACATCACATGTATACCAAAGTAATTTAAAGTGAATTATAGACATTGCATCACTTTATAAATCATAATTCATCTTGGATAAAGAAAGGCATGTATTTGCCCATACAAACTCATATTAAAACTCTTCCTCCGTTAGCAGTCTTTCTTCATGGTGTTTATCATAGTATGGATTATATATTCATATGTATTTATGTCCATTTCATTGCTAAACGGTAAGCTCATGAGGGCTTTGCACTCTCAGTGCTTAGCTTTGTAAATGGCCTGTGATTGATACTTAATAAATAGTTGTTGAGTATGATGTGATAGGTGATATGGTAGCTTAGGGTGATATAGTGGCCTGACTATTTATTAGAAGCCATACCCTTCCTTGGGAGTATGCTTGGCTCTCCCATAGAAATATTCCTTTGATGTTACAATTTGTGGAGGGGAAGGGAAAAAACAAATCGTTTAAATAGGGATACAGGTGGACCCATTGCAACAATGAGACGTACAAGTCGTTATGCCGAAAACGAACTTTACAACTTTGGTGGGGGGGTGGGGGAGGAGGGAGTATGGGATGGGAAGGGGAAACAAAGGAGGAGGCTACAATGTACTCATTATCTCGCCCATGTAATTGTAACCCCTTTGTACAGTATTTTCACAATAATAAAAAAATATTCCTTTGAATTTGGTTATTTCAAGCTTTTATTATAATATTTCAATAGGTGAGGGAGATTATAAGAAAATGAGTACTATGGCTACTAGCTGTAATTGTCAAAAGTCCCCTTATAATTTGTATGCTGTGTACAGGAGTACAAGAGGAGAGATAGTTTTTGTGGGCAATGGTAAAGAATTTCAGAGGAAAGTAGAACTTGGAGAAGTGGCTAGAGGGAGAACTTTGTTAAGAGGGGCAGTGTGCTGATAAAATTAAGAAGAGGAGAGTATCAGTGGGCTTGTGAAGATAAATGAGGGAGGAGATACATTTTGTGAAGAATAGAGAGCTAGAGCATTCCTTGTATACATTCTGGCTCTTCTGCTTTTATGCTAAATGTCCTTAGGCATATTATTTCATCTCTATGAGCCTCAGTTTTTGTCTTTTATAAGGATAGCACTTCTACCTTGATGGGCTACCAAGTTAGATAATATAGGCAGATTCCTTAATAGTGCTCCTGGCAAATAGTTGATCAGATATTCTCAACCTTTTGTTGCCTACATACAACTAATAGTGAGAATATTGTCATTCCTATGACTGGCTCTAAGGTGCTACTCTGTTTTAATTAAGCCTGTGTTATATCAAATATGGGAAGCTTAACTACTTTAATAAATGTCAGCTAAGTCATCCATATGCTTTTCTTTCAGCATCATTTTTTTTTTTTTTTTGGTTAGTCATGGGGCTTGAACTCTGGGCCTAGGTGCGTCCCTCAGCTCTTCAGCTCAAAGCTAACGCTCTATCACTTGAGCCACAGCGCCGCTTCCAGTTTTCTGATGGTTTATTGAAGATAAGAGTCTCAAGGACTTTCCTGCTTGGGCTGGCTTTGAACCTTGATCTGTAGATCTCAGCCTCCTGAGTAGCTAGGATAACGTGTGAGCTACCAGTGCCCGGTTTCAGCATCATTTTATTTAATTTTTTACTGGTCTGTTTCACATGAAAGGAAGAGTTAAGACTTTTTTAATTCCCTTGTATTTTCTTTTTGATTTTCCTTCTTTCATTTTGTCTTGCAGTGAGCATTGTGTGCTGACTTGGACAGAAAAAGGAATTTATATTTTTATTCCTCAGAACGTTCAAGTTCTCCTTTGGAGTGAAGTCAAAGGTAATCATGTCTTTCTCATATAATTTTTTATATCATGATTGCTGGTGAAGCTTAATTAGTGTAGGAGGATTCACTTACATTGTAGGAAATTGAAAATGCAGGAACAATAGTCATATGTGACTAAGAGAAAATCAGCCTCTATATCCTTTCAATTACAAGCAGAAATGTGGGAATATAGCTTTTTAACTTTTTTTTTTTAACATGCTGTTAGATTGTTCATTGACTTTTAGAGTATTTTCCAACTTTGTAAAAAGGAGGGTAAAAGAAAGAAAATTTCTTACTGTTTTTTTTCAACGGTGATTTCTGGTGGATTAAATTCTTTAAGTATGTCCCTTGTAAACTAGGCTGTTAAGCCTCTTCAAGATGTTCTGTCAGGGGTGGTGGCTCAGTGGTAGAGTGTTTGCCTTGCATGCATGAAGCCCTGAGTTTGATTCCTCAGCACCACATAAACAAAAAGCTGGAAGTAGCTCTGTGGCTCAAGTGGTAGAGCGCTAGCCTTGAGCTGAAGGGCTGAGGGACAGTGCCCAGGCCCAGAGTTCAGGACCCACAACTGACAAAAAAAAAAAAAGAGAGATGTTCTGCCAAAGCCAGGCTTGTTTGTGGGTCCACAGAAATTGGGAGGCCAAAGCAGGAGAACTGCAGGATATGGGACAGCCTGGACTATATAACAATACCTTGTCTCAAAGAACAAACAGAAAAGCCAATATCAAAACCAAGATGTTCTGCTGAAACAGATACTTTCAAGACAGATACTTTTTGATGAATTATTTGTTGATTTACGTGCTTGGTTAAAATCCATTCACGGAGCATCAAAAATTGTAAATCTTAGAAACATTAGATCTAGCCCCTAATAAGGATTACCCTCTTTTATATTCAGAATTTTTTTCCACAGGAATTGCATTCTAAACATTGATTTCTAGACCAGAGAGATGTGGTTCATTCTCCATCTTTTATTCCTGATCTTTTTGGAAAAGCATTTAAAAATAAGAGCTTCTTATGAAATACAAGGATAAAAGTAGGGATAAAATTCAGTCAAGCCTTATGTAAGAATTTATTTATTTATTTATTTTTTGGCTGTGGGGTCTGAACTCTGGGCCTAGGCGCTGTCCCTCAGCTCTTCAGGTGAAGGCTAGCGTTCTACCACTTGAGCCACAGCGCTACTTCCAGCTTTTTCTGCTTATGTGGTGCTGAGGAATTGAACCCAGGGCCTCATGCATGCAAGACAAGCACTCTACCACTGAGCCTCCTTCCCAGCCCTTATGTAAAAATTTATTAGAATATTATCAGTCCTTGCAAAGAGGTATTTGGCTAACATCTCTGTATTTTTTTTGGGGGGGGGTAGATATTCAGGATGTGGCTGTCTGCAAGAATGAGCTGTTCTGTTTGCACCTAAATGGGAAAGTCTCACATCTCTCCCTGTTGTCTGTGGAGCGCTGTGTGGAACGCCTGCTGAGGAGAGGCCTATGGGACCTGGCCGCTCACACATGCTGTCTTTTCCAAAATTCTATCATTGCCAGCAGAGTGAGTCACAACTTACCTAAGCATGTTCCTCATGGATTAGTAAAATCATTCTAGCTTGCAGGATTGTGTTCCAAAGTTGTTTTGTCTTGTCGTTGTTGTTGTTTTTAGGCATGTTTGTTGTACTTGATTTTTTTTTCATATATATTTTTATTGTAAAAATACTACAGAGGGGTTACAGTTACATGAGTAAGGTAATGGGTACATTTCCTATCAAGCATTGTTACCTCCTCCTTTGTTTTTCCCCTACTATCCCTTCCCTCCCCTAAAATTGAAAAGTTTGTTTTCAATATAGTGTCTTATACATCTCACTGTTACATGAGTCAACCTGTATCCTTATTTTGTTCTTTCCCTTCCCCTCCCCAAATTATAAAAATGTATATACAAGATACAGAACACCAGAATCAAATACAGTAAAAACAGGGTTATACCACGGGGGAAGAATATACAAAAGAAACGAATCACATAGTGCATATTAAGTACATTAAAATCAATAGCAAGAAAGAAAAAACCACTGTGTCCCTGTCTTGGGGTTCATTTCGCTTAACATCATCTTATGTGGTCATATGTATATAGCTTTTTACCTTTTCTGCTTGTTCTAGACATGTACTAGTTACAAATAAGGGAAACCATGGGACCTATGTTTCTTAGGGCCTGGATTACTTCACTTAATATAAATTTTTCCAAGTCTTTCCATTTCCTAACAAATGGGGCAATGTCATTCTTTCTGATGGAGGCATCAGAAAACTTAGATTTTTAATTCAGGGTCTCATGATGTGGAGATAATGCTGAGCCATACCTTCAGCCTTGTTTTTCTTTTTCTTTTTGGAGGGGGGAGGCGGGTCCGGTCGTGGGGCCTGAACTCTGGGCCTGGGCGCTGTCCCTCAGCTCTAGGCTAGCGCTCTACCACTTGAGCCACAGCGTCACTTCCAGCTTTTTTTTCTGCTTATGTGGTGCTGAGGAATCGAACCCAGGGCCTCAAGCATGCAAGGCGAGTACTCGACCACTGAGCCATCTTCTCAGCCCCAGCCTTGTTTTTCACAGGTTATTTTTAAGATAAGGTCTTACTTTCTTCTCAGGTGTGTGCCTAATCTTCATCACACATGCTTTAAGGATTCCTGATATTTCTGGGATCACAGGTACATGCCAACATGTCCACACTCCCTTCTTTTGAGATTCCTGCCTGGGCTAGCCTATCACTATGATCCTCTCAATCTCAACTTCCCATGTAGCTTGAGATGACAGATACATGCCACTGTATCCAGCTATATGTTGAGAAGAGGTCTTTCAAACTTTTCTGCCCAGGTTGGCCTTGAACCACAATCCTCCTGTCCTTAGCCCCCCAGGTAGCTAGGATTGTAGACATGATCTACTGCTATTCAGCTTAACTTGATTGCTTATCTTTATTAGCCCTGATATATGACTAAGGTTTGGTAATACATCCCAAAAGAAATCATGTCAGATACATTTAGAGGTGAGGAGGGTCGTAAGGAGTTTACACTTACAGTTTTTAAAACAATATCGAACCTGTTCAGAAATTCGTTTGAGTTTTAGAGCATGTTTTTAAGGAGTTGGTTGTGTAGATGGTAACTAAGAGCTAAATTCTTAATTCCTAAGAGAATTCTGATTAATTTTTTGATAGCTTATCTAAGCCTTTTCAGAGCACCTGAGAAGGTTTTAAAATTTTATTTTCTTTATTATTACTCTTTTTTTTTTGGTACAGGTACTGGAGCTTGGATTCTGGACCTTGTAGTTTTGCTTGGCTTTTTTATTCATGGCTGGTACTTTAACACTAAAGCCATGCCTCCATTCCAGCATTTTGTTTGTTATTTTGAAGACATAGTGTTGAGGATTTTTCTGTTTGGGCTGGCTTCCAACCACAATTTTCAAATCTCCTGAGTAGCTAGGATACAAGCATGAGCCAGCTTGTGAAGATTTTTATATGTTAGGCTTCTTTCAGCATTTTGGACATTTTAATATAGTTTAGTTACAGACATTAAGCTATCTCACTGTTTGGTTCTTCTTTTTGCTAAACCTTTAATTAGGCAAGAAAAACCTTGTCTGTAGATAAATTGGATCATTTGAAATCTCAGCTGGATCTTGCAACCCGTAGTGATCTAATTTCTCAATTGGAGGAATTGATCTTAAAATGTGAACCTTTGGATTCAGCCTGCAGCAGTAGAAGAAGCTCCATTTCATCACATGTAAGTTTTCCTTCTTTCTTTCTTTCTTTCTTTCTTTCTTTCTTTCTTTCTTTCTTTCTTTCTTTCTTTCTTTCTTTCTTTCTTTCTTTCTTTCTTTCTTTCTTTCTTTCTTTCTTTCTTTCCTTTCCCTTCCTCCCTCCCTCCCTCCCTCCCTCCCTCCCTCCCTTCCTTCCTTCCTTCCTTCCTTCCTTCCTTCCTTCCTTCCTTCCTCCCTCCCTCCCTCCCTCCCTCCCTCCCTTCCTCCCTCTCTTCTTCCCTCCCTCCCTCTCTCCTTTCTTTCTTTCTTCTTTCTTTCTTTCTTTCTTCCTTCCTTCCTTCCTTTCTTTCTTTCTTTCTTTCTTTCTTTCTTTCTTTCTTTCTTTCTTTCTTTCTTTCTTTCTTTCTTTCTTTCTTCCTTTCATTCTTTCGTACTGGGGCTTGAACTCAGGACCTTATGCTTGCTTGGCTTGCTTGCTTGGCTGGTACCATACCACTTGAGCCATGCCTCTAGCCCAACTTTTGCTAGTTATTTTGGTGATGGACTTTTTTCTGCTTGGCCTGGCTTGTAACCAACATCTGGCTCTCAACCAGTGGTTATAGGTGTAAGCCACCGGCGCCTAGCTATATTCTTGTTTTGAAAAGATTTTTGTTATAGAATAAGATTGTTTCACCTTAGACTATAGTTATACATCTCTAGTATCTCAAAGCTTGTCTTCTCCCCACCCCCATATAGTACATTTTAAAAAAAGCAGAAAACAGTGTGTTAGTTTTCTATCACATTGGCAAAATACCTAAGAAACAATTTATAAGGAAGAAAGGCTGATTTGGGCTTACAATTTCAGAGGGGTCACTTACGGCTCATTGGGAGCATTAGTGTGGAATTTTGGCAAGGTAGAACAGCACAGTGGAACAAATTGCTCGCCTCATGACAGCTGGGAAGTAGCCGGTAGGAAGGGGCTGGGGTCCCAAATACACTTTCAATGACCTAACTTCCTGCCTCTAAGGGCCTCCTGAAAGTTTTACTCTCTCCAAGTAGTGCCATAGGTTAAGGACACAGTCTTCAACAAATGGGCCTTTGGGAGACATTCAAGACCCAAACTATAGCAGAATTTCTTTCAGGTATTGAATAACTGTTGGAAATTTAGGTGTTTCTTGAAGCTCCCTTTCATTTGGTTAGTGTTTATTATTTACTTACATAGCTTCCACACAAGTTAGTTTTCTCCTAATTCATAATAGACACTTCATGCCATTTGAGTCTCATTGCAGCTCAGGTTTGATCTCATTCCTCTTCATTCTTAACTCCATTCTCTCTGAAGACAAGCTGGAGAAATACTGTGATACCACTAGCGTGTTTGAGACTTCTAGTTTCCAGGTGCTTAAACATTTTTCACCAGTTTGTTCTAATAAGACATAATCATGTTACTTACTGACTTTGCACTTTAGTGTTGGGATTCTCTGAAAAGCTACATTGTACTCTAAAGGATAACTTTAATTATTTTGGGAATTCTTTTTATTTTTAGGAAAGTTTTAGCATCTTGGACTCTGGTATTTATCGAGTCATTAGTAGCAGAAGAGGTAGTCAGTCAGATGAAGACACTTGCTCCCTTCATAGCCAGACCTTCTCAGAAGACGAGAGACTTAAAGAATTCAATTCACACCATGAAGAGGACCAGCTGGATCAGGGTTGTGGCCCACTTGGAAATGAAGGTGATGAATATGTCTTTTGTTGCTGCAAGTGAGAAGCAGTTATTTTCTACAAGTTCTGAGTGCCAGGATTGTCTTGTAGATAGAGTCTCTAAGAAGTGTAAATAATTTTTAGTTAATTGATAGGCTTTCCATCCAGACCTGTAGGTCTACTTGCCATTAGAAGGGTAGGGAGCTTATATTCAGTTTTTCTTTGTTTTTTAACCTTATCTTTTTAGTAATGTTTGTAAAGTACTTAATTTTGATCTTATCAAAATGCTGAAGAGGTTAAGAAGAAGATTATTAACAAAAAGAATGGAAAGATTTTATTCTCACTAACCAAATTATTTTCCATCAGGAATTGAAAAATTGCTACAGTTTTGGGGGCCATTGCCTTCTCTTTTCAAAGTTCCAGTATTCCTGTGACTGAACTGTTGAGAAGAAATTAATAGAGATTGTAAACTTCCTTTTTGATTCAGGGTTAGTAGGCAACTGAAGGTACCCACCTAAGTGTTTTACGTGGGCCATCCCATACCTTTTGTAAATCCCTGTTCACACTCATTTGTATTTGAGTCAGTTGTGATTTTGGTATTGAATATTTTCATTTCCTTTGGTTTACTCATTTCAGAATTCCTTTAAGGTTTTTTAAAAACTTCCATGTAATTACCTTTTTTTTTTTGTCTCCCACCCCATTCTATTCATTAGATAATGTTTCTCATAGTCCAGTGACATTTGAGACAGAAAAGAATGAAACTTTTCTTCCCTTCGGCATTCCATTATCATTTCGTTCTCCATCGCCTCTTGTGTCTCTTCAGGCTGTCAAAGAAAGGTAAACAAACCAATTAATTAGTCTTAACACTTAATTCCATTTCTGGTTTTACTTCCCTTATCACATTAGGCGCTTTGTGGTGGGATAGAAAGATCTTTTAAGTTATTTCTTCAGTTATTTCTTCTTATGGCCTATTAAAGTGAAGCTGTTGACTTCTCATTTTGAACCTCAGGGAACTGAGGGTTTCTCTTTTTTGAGTAGCCAAGTGTGTAAGTGGTATGTGCAACCCACTTCTTCCAGACAGAAAAACATTCAAAAATCTATTTTTCCTTCATCACTGGTAGAACTGTTTCCTTGTGTTATTAGTCATTTCTTTTTTATTTTTTTTGCTTATGTGGTGCTGAGAAATCGAACCCAGGGCCTCAGGCATGCAAGGCAAGCGCTCTACCACTGAGCCACCTACCCAGCCCTATTAGTCCTATTAGTCATTTCTTTTTTTCTTTTTTTAAATTAATTTATTTTTTTGGGTCGGTCGTGGGCCCTGAACTCTGGGCCTGGGTGCTGTCCCTTAGCTCTTCAGCTCAAGACTAGCGCTCTACCACTTGAGCCACAGCGTCACTTCCGGCCTTTTCTTTCCTGCTTATGTGGTGCTGAGGAATCGAACCCAGGGCCTCAGGCATGCAAGGCAAGCGCTCTACCACTGAGCCACCTTCCCAGCCCCCTATTAGTCATTTCTTAATCCATCCTCAATTTCAGATCAGAATTGGAGGTTTTTCAGAATTTTTTTCTACTTGCTCCATGGAATCAGTACTGGCATTTAAGTGTGAGAGATAAGACTTTTATGTAGCTACTTAAATGCTTATCACTGTCTTACTGGATACAATTTTTCAGTTGGTCTTGAAGGGTATGTTGTGAATAGTTGGGAACTAAGTTTCATGAACGAATTCTTTTGTTGTTAGGAATTATGATCATATGACTTAATTTGCCCAAGTTGATGGAAATCTTACAGACACAACAGAGTTAGAGACTTCTTTAACCTGACTCATTGGTTTCTCAGAACATTTTCCTAAGCAAAGTGAATCACTGTATTGTAAGTGTATTATGGACCTTGTGTGAACTATATATTTGATTACAGAAGTTCCTATTGTTATTATTGCGTGGCTTAAGCTACTCAGGAAGCTGAGATCTGAGGATCACAGCCAGGCAAGAAAGTCCATGAGACGCTTACCTCCAATTCATTACCAAAAAGATAGAAGTAGAGCCATGGCTCAAGTGATGGAGTGCTAGCTTTGATCAAAAAAGCTTAGGAATAGTGGCCAGGCACTGAGTTCAGGCCCTGGGTCTGGTACCAAAAAAACAAAACAAAACAAAACTATGAGTTTTTTGTTTAAGTCCAAGCTGACTTCCTAGAACTGATAGGAAGTCAGGTACTAAGTTTTTATTCTTGGCAGTAATTTTTGTTTGCATTCGTATTTTTGATATTTGCTTTCAGTGTTTCTAGCTTTGTGCGTAAAACTACTGAGAAGATTGGCACCCTTCACACAAGCCCAGAGCTTAAAGAGATACCAGGGCCCAAAGACGAGGATCAATCATGTGAGGAGGAAGTAAGCTCAGTTGCCTGCCCACAGGAGAACAATACTGAGTAAGCTCTTGCATGTGAACCTGTGTTAAGTGGTAAGGGAACTCAATTGAAAGAAAGCCATAGGCTGAGACTGTCCTGCTGAAGAAAGCACATGGATGGTCTGTTACTGAAAGCTGTTGTGTAGCTTATAAATATTGTGAATTCCACAGATTAAAAAATCTTTTGAGCCGGGTGCTGGTGCCTCACACTATAATCCTAAAATCCTGGCCTATAATCCTAGCAACTCAAGAGGCTGAGATCTGAGGATTGCGGTTTAAAGCCAGCCCGGGCAGGAAAGACCGTGAGACTCCTATCTCCAATAAACCACCAGAAAACCGGAAGTGGTGCTGTGGCTCAAGTGGTAGAGCGCTTGCCTTGAGCTGAAGAGCTGAGGGACAGCGCCCAGGCCCAGAGTTCAAGCCCCATGACTGACAAAACAGCAACAACAACAACAACATCTTTTGAATGAGTTTTAGCGTGGTACCTCTTCCATCTTTCTCCTGTGCTAGACGCCCCCCTTTCTTGTGTTTCATCAAATTTCTGGGATATCAGAGTTCTTTTAGGAAAAAGTAGGATGACTACAGAATTAGACCTTGTTTTTCCTCTGCTCCTAATTGGCACATAACTGAATAAGTCATTAATGCTCTCAAGCTTAAAAGATCTAGGTTACACTATTGCTTGATGAGTCAAAAGAGGGAATGTTTGATAAAGGTAATTTGAGAAAGAAAAAAGAAACTCTTTAGGCAATGTAACCTGAAGTACAATACTTGCCACGTAATAAGAGTGTATATGTATTTGTCTGGGAAAGCTCTGACGTCTTCTAACCTGATATTTTTATTTTTTATACTTTTCTAGGGAAACAAAAGAGAAAACTAGTCAACCATCAGAAGACAGGTTCCAAGAGCTCACATCAGCCACAGCAGAAGCAATGTGAGTGTGAGTGAGAATTTTATAGCAAATGGGGGTTGTTTTCAGATCTCAACTATCATTGTCCTGAGGTGGCCTCGTTTGCCATTGAAATTCAAGAATTAGTAACATACTGAAGTCAGTGTTCTCTGTTGTGTTGTCTTGCTGACATACTTGTTATCTAGAGTTTAAAAGTTATATACTGGATGAACTTATTTTTATGAGTTAAGTTCCTTTAATATAAAATAATTTGTTTTGTAAAAATACGTGAAATATATTAATTTCATGCTTCCTTGTTTCATATAGAACCAAGCTACTGGACCCTCTGGTTTTATTTGAACCGAAGTCTCTGAGGATGGTCTTACGGGATTGGCTTTCACATTTAGAGAAAATATTTGCTGTTAAAGACTTTGCAGGCATTTCAGATACTGGCAATTTACTTGTGGAATCAAACCAGAGCATGCTACTGCTTTGTGAGTCACAAAAGGGAAGAATAGATGAGGATAATGAAGAAGAAAAAAGGGACTGCTTAGGTGTTGAAGAAACTGTTGGTCAAATAGCATGTGAGTCTGTAAGTAGTCTGAAGGAGCCATTGGATGACATTTTTCGAATATGTTCTCCATATGCCATCCCAAACAGTCTTCAGAAGGATCTGGCTGAATTGATAACATTGTGTTTGGAGCTGAGTGTATTGAGTTCTACAGTCAAAAGCCCAGATGAATGTGTGGGACACATATTGCAACAGTGCTCTCCTGAAGTTCTGGCTTGCCAGTTCCTAAAGAAGTATTTTTTCCTCCTGGACTTGAAAAGAGCAAAGGAGAGTATCAAGCTTAGTTACACTAACAGCCCTTGTGTTTGGAATACTTTTATTGAAGGATTGAAAGGTAATAATCAGTTTGCTTTATCAAAGGTAAACATATTAAGGTAGAGGTAATGACATTTTGGAGCTTTAGGATTTTAAAAAAAGGAAAGTTGCCTCTGGTCAGCCCTCTATTTTAATTCAGTGTTTCTTCAAACCTTGGTTTAACTTGCAACTACTCTATTACAAGAAATTAGTTTCATTTTTCTTACAGCCACATTCAAGAAATGATACAGCAATACTAGAGCACTTGGGGTTAAAGTTAAAAGTGTGTAAATGAAGATATATGAACGCAAGAAAACCCCTCATGTAATTTGCTAACAGAAAATACATACTATATGTTGAATGTGCTATATGCCATATAACATAATATGATAAACAGTTTTTCTGGTATCATGACCTCCTTACAAAAATCAGAGCACACAGGACTCTTCCATTTTACAGATGAGGAAACTGATTATTAGTTGCATAGGCTAAGTTGCTGTCATAAATATCTTATAGTGTAATAACTCAAACATAGTAGGAAGAATGTATTTTTTGTTCATTTAATAGTCCAGGACAATTAGAATAAAATAATGGCATTCGCGGGGAAATGAGTGGAACTAGAACAAATCATGTTGAGCAAAATAAGCCATGATCGGAGAGACAAACAGCACATGATCTCCCTGATATACAAATGTTAAATTCAAATAAGAACAAAGTAAAAAGGACTCAGGAAACAAAGGACCTTTTCTTAATTTGTCATATTGTTTTAGACGACTCTGTTCTTGACCCCATATATGGTATATACGTATGCACATCTGAGGGAAGCTAGGAGGAGGGCACAGAATCAGAGGGAAACAGATGATAAAATAGAGCAGAGGGGTCCATCAGCTGCACTGGACCAGGTGAACCAAGCAACTCAAGGACAGCGATGGGAGGGAGAGAATGAGCGAGAAAGAGGAAACAGCTGACACTAAGCAAAAGGAAAGAAATGTACATAGCACCCTATTTGGAAGAAATAGTTGTATTGTCAAAGTTTGTAGCGTTCACAAGCTTTATAGGCCATGATAATGACAATTCGCCTTGTGAAGGTTAAAATGTGTTTGTGACTTTAGCTAAATTTCACTATTCCACAATATTGTAAAGTTTCTGTTATCACTTAATCTCGATAAAGAATTAAAAAAAGAAGTCCAGGACAGTGAGCAGCTGTCTTCCATGTAGTAGCATTTCAAATTTCTTCTGCTACTTTAAGCTCCATTCTTCACAAGTTATCAAACTTGTGATTGAGGATGTCCTGCTGTGTTCAAGGGAAGGCAAGTAGAACATGCTCTTTGATAGGCCCAGCCTAGTGTTTTCCCTTTTTTCTGCCCACATTCTTTGGATTAGAATTCTTCCCCATAGTGCTTCCTAATTTCAGAGGAAACTGAAAAAATGAAACCTGTTCATGTGTCCAATAGGAAGAGATTAGGATTACAAATTAGAGGATAGCCTGGACTACATATCTTAAAAAACAAACCAAATGATAAATTTTAAAACAAAAAAAAATCCAATATACCTATCTATCCCAGTTGAATTTTAAGGCCCTTGAAAGTAGAAAATACATCTTGTTCCCCTTTTTGTATCTCTACTGCAATGCTTAACAGTGAACCTTGTATACCACAAGTGCACAACTAATGGACATTGAATGCCTATGTTCCTATATTGAATATTTTGCAGCTGAAAGGTAAAGGAAAAGGCCATGCTTTATCTTTCAGAAATGGCAAGTTCTAATCCTACACATACGGAGATGGGAGAAGGAGACCTACCAACAAGATTAAAGTTGTTAGAAGCCTCAGTTCCTTTTGATAGTCCGCTGTTGATTGCTTATGCTTCCTGGTATGTTTTCCTAAATGTTCTTTATAGCAACTAAAGCACATGCATTTCCTCGTGTCTTAGCCTCTACAGTTTTACTCATTTGCAAATTGGACATTTCTAGAGAGTACTTAACCAAGTTATGTGACCCCACTGAAGTTGGTGACCAATGTGTTCTGTTTTCAAATGCAGGTTGTATGAGAAGTTTGGGGAATCTGCCCTGCGATCCTTAGTCAGGTTCTATCCATCTATTTTGCCTTCAGATGTCATGCAGCTTTGTCATCAGCATCCTGTTCAGTTTTTGGCCTATTTAGACAATCTGGTGAAATCAAGGCCTGAAGATCAGAGGTGAGAAGGAGTGCATTTTCTCTCTTCCTTTTGATAGGGCATTGTTTCTCTTTCCTTAATAGTCGTCCCATTTTTCTCATTAACTATCACAAAGTTGAGTCACCTAGTGTGGATTTGTGGAACATGAGTCTTCTGTCATTCTGCCCCACTGCACAACACATATCACCAAGTATCATACTTCTTTATATCTTCCTCCTTCCTGAGATTCTAAGATCTTCAGTGTAAAATAAAATCCCGATTGAGAGCTGAGGCTAAAAGAGATAAGCTTCTTATTGTTATGCAGTGAGGGCATCTGCTATCACTGTTTCATTGACATACCCCAGCCTTTTGTGGCTTGACTTCAGCTCCAGTGCCATGCTTTTCCCTTCAGATTTTCATTTCCAGTCATCTCTATGGCTGTGAACTCTCATTTGCTTATTAGGCTGGCAACTTCCTTTTCTTTTTTCCTTTCGGTCTTTTCGTACTTGCCATACTTTTATTTATCCTTTATTTTTGTTTAGTTTCATTTTTTAGCCCTTTGGCCTTTTCCTTATTATCTATTATCTATTAACTATTTATTTAGAAGACTTCAATATTCACCAACATTTCAAGACATTTTGTAATAGAAGAGTTTTCAAGTTATTCATCTGTTGTATTGCTATGATCCCTTCATCTTGTTTTCTTCATACCCCCACACTTGGTTTCTTCTCATGAAACTTGGTGAATTTTTTTCTCCTCAACTTTCTCTCAGGTCATCCTTTCTTGAGTCCCTTCTACAACCAGAATCTTTAAGATTGAATTGGTTGCTTTTGGCAGTGTCCCATGATGCTCCACCCAGCACAAGCACTATGGATGATGAAGGACATCCCAGGTACAGAAGGATTGCCAATAAATTCCTAGATATAACTTGATGAAGATTTTTCTAATATTTATTTGCAGAATTAAACACGGATACTTTTATCAGATACATGTTTTCCTCTGGGGAAAGTTTTTTTTAAGTCCTTCAAAAGTCTGTCTTATTTGTTGTATGTCTAGGCAAAAGGTCTAGATGGATAGTATATGCAAGTCATGGGATTATGGACTTCTTTTTCCTTCTTTTTGGTTCTAGGATTGAACCCAGGCCTCCTGCAAGCACTCAAATACCAAGCCATAGTCCTTTTCCTAAATTTCTGTTTGTTTTTTTTTTAATGAATACATTATAGGAAAAGTCACTATTTCTAATTTTTCAAAAGCCAAAAATAAATGTTGGAAAAATAGAATAATGGACTAATTAAACTAGTCTTGCCTGTCAGATGACTAAATAAACCCTCTGGTTTACTGACACTTTTTCCTTTAACAGGCCTCACTCACACTTGTTTTCCTGGGGTTACAGCCAACTGATTCTTCATCTAGTGAAACTTCCTGCAGATTTTACAACCAAAGAGAAAATGACTGACATCTGCAAGTCTTATGGGTAAGTGAGAACTTCCACAAACACTGAAGTTAATATCAGAATCATTTCAGTGGATAATGTGGTGGTGAAGGGCCCGAATTGATTTGCTTCATTACTTAAGAATTCCATTTGCTAAAAGTACAGTATGTGATAGTAGACATCTTTTCCTTTTATTTTTGTGGGTGTAGGAGAAACTATATCTTGCTAGTTCTTTTCTACTCCCTCTGCTTTACTTGCTAGCCCCAGTTCTCAGGCATGTAGATAATGTTTCAGTAAGCACTAGCACCGGATTATGTGACCAGTTACAATTTATAAAGATTTCAAGAAGGGAGAGATGTGAATAGCCTCAGTAGAGTCCCTGGTGAAAGACTCAGAGGGAAGGTGAGATTTAGTCCTTTGAGGACTGGTGGGATCTGCATCTGTGAAGCAAATCTGCAAAGGAGGATTGTGGGTACAGTGAGAGGAACAGTAAGAATAATGACATTGTTTGTTTCTTCTTGCTTGGTGATGTCTTACAACGTCACCTGGCTTATAATTGTTCAGGGACCTTTGTCTTTCTTTTCCCTCATTTTGCCTAATTCATGCAGTGACAAGTACTTTTTGTGTATTTGTTATTGGACAATAAAGGGTGGAACTAGGAGGTGATGTGTGATAAATCAAGAGGGACCTTGAAAGGTGCTCAGAAGAATTTAGTTACCAGTACAGACCCATTTGTACTTTTTGGTACAAAGATGTCTTAATGGAACTAGAACTTCCTGGAGATCGTTTCTGGTATCATAATTGAGGAAGACTAGAGAAAAAAATGCCTCTAGGAAGCTGTTGTTCATTCAAGATGGGTGATTAGTATGGTGGCAAAAGGAGCACATCCAAGGGACATTTTGAAAGAACATGAGTGAAACTTGTTTATACAGCAAATGAAGGAAAGGAAAGATGGAGAACTTCAAGGTTTGCATATTTGGGTTAAGTATGCTATTTTTGTATTGAAGCTTAAAGTTTACTGTGTGTGTGTGTGTGTGTGTGTGTGTGTGTGTGTGTGTGTGTGTGTGTATATAAAGCTTCAACACTCATAATTGCTGCTTGGATCCAAATATCTCTGGCTTTTGTATTTTATAAAAGCTCAGATTTAAAAAAAATTAAACTAGATCAGCTGTACATAAGATGTTTGAAATACAAATATGTCAGTTGAAAATCTGACTTAAAAATTATGTTTACCGGGCTGGGAAGTTGGCTCAGTGGTAGAGCGCTTGCCTTGCATGCCTGAGGCCCTGGGTTCAATTCCTTAGCACCACATAAGCAAAAAGAAAAAAGCCGGAAGTGGTGCTGTGGCTCAAGTGGTAGAGCGCTAGCCTTGAGCTGAAGAGCTGAGGGACAGCACCCAGGCCCAGAGTTCAGGCCCCACGACCGGACCCAAAAAAAAAAAAAATTATGTTTACCATCACCTGATATGGAAAAAATAACTTGTATTGTCAAAGCTCATAGAATTCACAAACTGTATAGACCATGAAAATGACAGTTTGCCTTGTGAAGATTAAAATGTGTTTGTGACTTTAAGTATCACTGTTCCCCAATACTGTGAAATCTGTGAAATTTATGTAATCAACTAATCTCTATTAAAGAAAAAAAGTGAGAGAAGGGATGGGTTAAGAGAGATGGGTGGCAATGTTGTCAGACACATTGTATTCATATACTGTTTTGTAGAATGGGAACTTCTTTGTACAAGTACTTAAAGACAATAAAAAAATTATGTTTACTTTTAAATAAATAGCCACACGTGGCTAGCGTCTACTGTGTTAGTGTGCTTCTGGGTAAACTCACTGCCTCTGATTACTTTCTTCAACTTGATCTCTTCAAAGTTTCTGGCCTGGATATCTTACTCTCTGTTTGGAGCTGGAAAGGAGAAGAGAGGCCTTCACCAACCTTGTGTATCTGAATGATATGAGCCTGATGGAAGGAGACAATGGTGTGTAAATCTCAACTGGTTGGTTACTCTTGGTTGGAGTATTTTACAAGTCTCTCCATATTTTTGAATGAAGAAATCTGGTGAACATTTCAAGAATTACACACACACACACACACACACACACACACACACACACACACACAATTCTAACTAGTTGTCCATGTTGTGGGTTTTAAACATCTGTACCTTTGAGTATATTATGAACTTTTTCTATTTAATGAACACCTACTACATTTTGAGTAATAATATATGATGTAATATACTTTATGTTTTCCATATGCTTTTTTAATTTATTTTTTGTTCTTGTTATTGAACTTGAGATTGAACCTAGGGCCTCGCAGCACTTTCACTTAAGCAAAGCCCTTTTTTGGGGTTGGGGTACCAGTACTTAGGTGTGAGTCACTGGCACCAGCTTCATTTTGAGCTAGAATCTTTTAAAGTTTGCCTTGACTTGGTGATACTCCTGTCCCCCTGGGATTACAAGTGAGTACTCCCAAGTCTTGTTGGCCCAGATGCTTGTCTGCACGTATTGTTTTAAAAGAAATAATAAACTCTTGGGGTATTTGCTGTTATTTTCACCTTCCAGAGGAAACTAGTAAATGCTGGACCTGGTGTTCAGACCCAGGCCTATCTTCAAACTTTTTTTTAAGTGCCAGTCCTGGGGCTTGGTCTCAGGGCCTGGACATTGTCCCTGAGCTTTTTTTCCTCAAGGCTAGCACTCTACCACTTAAACCATAACTCTACTTCCAGCTTTGGTTTTGCTTTTTGTTTTGGTAGTTAATTGGAGGTAAAAAGTCTCGTGGACTTTCTTTCTCTGGCTGGTTTTGAACTGCTCTCCTTAGATCTGAGCATCCTGAGGATTAGTCTTGAGCCACTGGCATCCAACTTCAAAGTTTTGCTTTAATTTAGGTTTTTTTTTTTCTTCTGAATCTTCTTTCAACCATGCAGTGAAACAGTAGAGCTTAGAGCCCAGGTTGTAGAACATTTGCCTCGCATGCACAGACTTTGAGTTAAATCCCTAGCTTTGGGGGAAAAAAAAGGTAGAGCTTATTAACATTCCCTAAAACTCTCTCTAGAATTTTACTTTTTAGTTTATCTTTTAACATGTTCTGATGATAGCCAGAAGGCTAGGAGACCTGTTTTTTTTTTGTTTTTTTTTTTTTTGTTAGCCGTGGGGCTTGAACTCTGGGCCTGAGTGCTGTCCCTCAGCTCTTCAGCTCAAGGCTAGCACTCTACCACCTGAGCTACAGTGCCACTTCTGGTTTTCTGGTGGTTTATTGGAGATAAGAGTTTCATGGAGGGGCTGGGAAGTTGGCTCAATGGTAGAGTGCTTGCCTTGCATGCCTGAGGCCCTGGGTTTGATTCCTCAGCACCACATAAGAAAAAAGCCGGAAGTGGCGCTGTGGCTCAAGTGGTAGAGCTGAAGACTGAGGGACAGCGTCCAGGCCCAGAGTTCAGGCCCCACGACCGGACCAAAAAAAAAGAAGTTTCATGGACTTTCCTGCCCGGGCTGGCTTTGAACCATGATCCTCAGATCTCAGCCTCCTGAGTAGCTAGGATTACAGGCGTGAGCCACCAGTGCCTGGCTGAGACCTGATATTTGAAGGCAGTCCATCTTGCATTTAGAAAGATAGATATGGCCATTTTTGTATATTTATCTCAGTGAAGAGACTCAAATACTTCACCCAGAGGCATATAAAATCCTTTACTATAGCCTTTTTTGTGTCTGTTGGCATAGAACAGGCATAGGTTAGAATCCAGAAGCCAGAAGCCAGTTGACTAGCCCGCTTTAGCTATAGACATCACAACTCCAGTTGCAATTACTTAGATCATCTTGGGGTCAGCCAGATTTATAGGGCTCGAACTATAAATACATGCTTTAGACAAAAAACAGAGACGTTAAGATGCAAATAAATGGTTTGTTTTTAAACGTAATATTTTTATTACTAGAAAAGGGAAAATTCAGGAAGCATGAAGAAAATAAGTATCACTTAAAGTCCTCCTCTCCCAGATGAAAGAACTTCTATTTTTGAGCATAATGGTGCCAAAGTTGAGTTCTTCTTGGCTTTGTTTTATTCAGTAGGGTTTTTCTCTTTGATGCGGCTCCCTTCCCAAGACGTATCTCAATCACTGTGCAGGCATGTGCCTTGTATTGCCCAATGTCTCATCTCCATCAACTTCTTTGTCTATACTATCACCACTTGTCTACTATCTATCTGTCTCAAACTATCTATCTGGCTTCCATTTGTGCCCACTTTGAACCGATTTGGCTTCCCTCTTGTAATTGTTTTGCACTGAACTCACAATGGAGTTCATATTCCCAAGTGTGTCCTCCAGGCCTGGCCCTACCATCTCACCCTCACTACTGCCTTTGTGCTCTCAGCTAATTTCTTGATTTCAAGTTCTTTCCTGTGTCACAAATGCAGATCCCTTCCCCTCCATTCCTTGTACCTGCTCCAGGTTTGTGCCTTCTATAGACCGCATGCATGTGTCCTCTAAGCTTGTCTCATCTTTCAGCTTTTGGCTTAAATGTCACTCATAGGGTTTTTCTCTCTGATGATTCCTTGTCCTTTTCCTTCATAGTACTTAGCACTGAGATGAGTATGTATTCATTTATACGGCTAAGTTCTGTCTTTACTGGAGTATACTCAGTGCCAAGATTAGGGATTGTGCCCATTTTGTTTTATTGCCTATCCAGGCATTTTGAAGCAAATTTTGAATTGTTTATTTGACAGATGTTTACAAATATTTTACCAGTGTTAATGCAAATATACCATTGTATTTAGTGCATTTATGTTTTAGTATTAAACATTTTCACAGTTTTGACCATATCCTCTATGCAGACAGTATGCTGGAAGTGAGCAGAGCCAATATTTTTTCTATGTGTTTATAGGTTGGATCCCAGAAACTATAGAGGAATGGAAGCTTCTCCTACATCTCATACAGAACAGGAGCACAGGACCAGTTCCACAAGAGTCACTAAATGGGACCTTCAGTGATGGGCCTGCCCCCATCACCATGGAGAATGTGGCGCTCTTGTTAGCAAAGGCCATGGGCCCTGATCGGGCCTGGTCACTGCTACAGGAATGTGGTCTGGCCCTTGAGTTGTCAGAGAAGTTTACCAGAACCTGTGATATCCTGAGGATTGCTGAGAAAAGGCAGAGGTAATGCTATTCTGTCATGCCCCTCCCCATGGTGCTTGGAGAATGTAGAAGCCACAGATAGTTTTACGTCCAGTCTCCTTTCCACAGAGATGGAAGTGTGTGTGTGTGTGTGTGTGTGTGTGTGTGTGTGTGTGTGTGTGTGTGTGTGTGTGTGTGTCTCAGACCTGGGCTTGAACTTAGGACCTGTGCCCTGTCCCTGAGCTTTTTTACTCAAGACTCACTCTTTACCACTTGAACCACAGCTTCACTTCTAGCTTTTTTAGGGGTTAACTGGAGATAAGAGTCTCACAGACATTCTTGCCTGGGCTGACTTTGAATGGTGATCCTTGACTCTCAGCCTCCTGAATAGTTAGGATTACAATCACTGGTACCTGGCTTAGAGATGGAGTCTTCCAGGCTTTTCTGCCATATCCTGACACCATGTCCAATCTCAGCCTCCTATGTAGCTTGGGATGATAGACTCATGTCACTGTGCCCAGCCATGGGTCAAAAAGGTGATCTTATGAACTATCTAGGCTGGTCTCAAACCATGATCCCCCTTTTTTCAGCCTTCCAAGTAGCTAGGGTTTATAAGCATGAGCCACTGGTCCTTCCCTAGAATTTCTTTTCTTTTTATGTCTGAATAATACCCCATTACATTCATCTATCTGCCAAAGATCATGTGGTTGATTCTACTTTGTGGCTATTATATATAACGCTGCTATGAAAATGAATGTACACATATCTCTTTAAGACCCTGCTTTCATTTCATTTGAAATATACCCAAAAGAAGAGATTCCGGGGGCTGGGAAGGTGGCTCAGTGGTAGAGTGCTTGCCTTGCAATGCATGAGGCCCTGGGTTCGATTCCTCAGCACCACATAAGCAAAAAAAAAGCCGGAAGTGGCGCTGTGACTCAAGTGGTAGAGCGCTAGCCTTGAGCTGAAGAGCTGAGGGACAGCGCCCAGGCCCAGAGTTCAGGCCCCACAACCAGACCCAAAAAAAAAAAAAAAAAAAAAAAAGAAGAGATTCCGTGCTGTTTTCCATAATGGCTGTGTTACTTTACATTTCTACCAACAGTTCACAATGATTCAAGTCCTTTGCCAATTTCAAAATCAGGTTATTTGTTCTTTTTTTGTTGTTGAATTTCCTTATATTCTAGATGCTAACACTTATCAGATATGATTTGCAAATAGTCTCTCCTATTCCGGAGGTTACCTTCTCATTTAGTTGATTTCAACTTGAGTCTTCTAATGAGAAAGATCAACCTTGTGAATCTTCTAAGTGTAGATCTGAGATGTTTTTGTGATCAGTAATTAAAGATCAGTGTGTGTGTTTCTTTTCTTTGTGGTTCCAGAGCCTTGGTGCAAAGCATGCTTGAAAAATGCGACCGGTTTCTCTGGTCTCAGCAGGCCTAATGGAGGATTTGGCAGATTGTGATAATGTTTTGGAAAACAAAAACAAAAACAGGCAAAAAATCATGCTTCTGAACCTTCTGAGTGCATTTGTTACTGAAGGAAAGGTATCACTCCCAAACCCTGTCAAATTGTGGGGGCTACGCTTGTTAGTGTCTATATCGTGACATTTGCGGCTCTGTGACCTAAGGGTTTCTCAACCAAAGTTTATAGCTGCATAGTATTTATTCTAATATATGATAATATTTGCTCATTGCTAGTGATTTGGGGGGAATTACTTTCTATTATGATCCTGTGTTGGGACCAGAAGAAGCTCTTTGTTAAACGAAGATAATGTTATTAACCAGAGTTGTGTTCTTTTATATCTTGTCTAAGGCAGTCTAGAAATTACTAAAACAGACAGGGCCTAGAATAATGGAATTGTCACATCTAACAAAATACTGGAGATTCTTTAGATATTTAAATAAAATTGCCTATAGCTATATTGAGCTAATTTATTTTTCCTCAGTATTTATTTGACGTTTTCTAATCTGAACCTATATATAGTGGACTGATTTATTACTGGACATATGTTTTTGTAATCTTTCCTAAACAGAGTACCTGAAGAGAATCATGCACTTTGTGTGTGTGTGTGCGCGCGCGCGTGTGTGTGTGTGCATGTGCACATGCATGCGGTGGTACTAGGGCTTGAACTCAGAGCCTCAAACTCTTGCTCAGCTTTTTTGCTCACAGCCATGCCTCCTCTTCCAGCTTTTTGCTGGTTCATTAGAGATGGAATCTCACAGGCTTCTGCTTGGACTGGCTTTCTTGAACCATAATTCTCAGATCTCAGTTTCCTAACTAGCTAAGATTACAGGCATGAGCCACAGGTGCCTGGTTGTTCATGCACTTTTAAAATTATTTTTAAAAAGCCATACTAGAAGAAAACTAAATACTAATAAAAGCTGTAACAAGTGCTTGTGTTATTTAAGTTTTGTAACTATGTTGTCATTTGTCAAACTCCTGTAACATAGGTATGTTATATTAGTAATAAATGTAAAAGCTGATGAATAGATCATAGTCGTGAGCTTTATTTCTGAGCAACTTGCAGGAAAATTTGAGTAAACCCTGGAATAAAGTGTTGAATGCATTAAATGAGCCAACTCTTTCCATTTATAACATGGATGTAAATTACTATCATACATGGTACCTGAATGTTACCTGACTAGGCATATTGATGAGGTTTTCAGGGAAAGGAGCCTTCACCAAGTTAATGAGAACTTTGAGAAGTGTGGGAAAATCTTCCCATTAACATTGCCTGGGCTTTGACTATACTTGTTATGTTTGATGTGCATTTGTAGCAAGATACAGGCCTTCACTATCAGCCTTATTCAGACACAGTGGCTAAGAGGGCCCAAGGAAATCACATGGTAAGCAGGAAATACTGTATAATCATTTCCCTAAAGTTCTTCCTGGGGCAGTCCTCACTTACCAGAGAGTACACACAGAAAGATGGCATAACAAACACAAACCACATCACCTGAATTCATCTATCAAGGCAAACAAAAAATGCACATCAATATAAACTTGAGCTGGGGTGCATGACATGGTAATTCTCCCCTCTGAAAGTGCCTTTAGCCTATACTTTGACTATTCTTCATCTTATCTCAAAGCTTTCATGAGGTGAGATCCTGTGCTGACAGTCCCATTGGGAATACAGCTGGAGTTCCTGCAAACTCCCTGGGAACCCACCCATGTGGGGCAGCCATAAAAGACTGATGAGCTCCCTGGAAGGCTTGGACTACTTCTGAATTTCCAGGAAATCTGGCTGTACCACATCCTTGGTAGCACTAAAACTCCCTAGGGTGAGTTACTGGGTGTCTTTCACAGGAAGCAAGAGAAGCCTGACACATGGGACTAGGAAGTCTTTATGTCCTACTTGTTTCTCCTGTGCCCTCTACTGACTGACAAAAGATTCATATGCACATTAATATGGGGAACAGCTCCCTTCCTACCCTCCAGAGCCATTTGGATATCGATAGCATCATTTGTAGGCCATAGGAAATGATCAGTACAGGCGAGGGAAGCCGATAGCACATATGCCTGTCTTGCACCAAATAATTTTGTGTGCCATCTCTTATGGCGCTCAAAGAAATGGATAACTGATACACCTTCCTAAGGCCTCAATTCTTTGTGGGGAATGGACAAATGTTAGTCCCATTACTGTCAAAAAGGCTGGAAACATATAGGAAGCAGACTACCCAAGAAAAGGAGCCAGACCATGGGCAGGAACTAGAAAGAAGGGAGAAAGAAAACAGAAATATTCATGGACAGTTCAGTCACCCTCTTATGTGATTTGTGAGGTAGGACCTTTCACAGCAGTTTCAGGCCATCCTTCCCAGAGCAAACAGCTCAGCTTCTCCTGGGAATGAGATTGTTCTTCTCTGAGTAACTGACAATATTCCTAACCCTTGTAACCTGTTTTAAACTCCTATCCAGTCTGCCACATTGGGCCACACAACCTGAGACAGTGACTCAACCTGAAGGAAGGCAGTATGCCTTTAACAATAGCCACAGAGTATGGCCCTACTCCCATTTCTGCTCAAGAACCTGTGGCTTTTGATGAACATTGCAGAAGTTTCTAGAACATGCGACAGACCACTAGATACATCTGAGAAGTGTGAACCAAAAGGAAAAGAGGAGAGAGCTAGCACAGCATCAGTTCAATCACAGCCTTTGGAAAGCTGGATTTATTGTTTTATTATCATATGCAGGATGTTGTTTCTTCAGAAATCTGGAGTGCTCCAGACTTGATGGCAGGATTGCTTTAGGACAGAGATATGTACTTTCCTATATATCCACCTGGGGGCAGCACAGCAACACGGTGAACCTGTACAATGTTTATAGGATCAATGAAAAAAAGTGTTTTGCTCTCTCTCTCTTTCCCTCTCCCTCCCTCCCCCCCTTGGCTCTCTCTCTTCCTCTTCTCCTTCCTTCCCTCTCTCCCTTTTTTCCCTATACCCTCTCCCTCTCCTATCTTTCCTCTCTTGTCTTGGACATTGTCTCTGAGCTGTTTTGCTTAAGGCTATCACTTGAGCATTTTGGTTGTTAATTGAAGATAAGGGTCTAACGAGTTTCTTGCTTGGGTTGGCTTTGAACTATAACCTTCAGAGTTGTAGGTGTGAGCCACTAGCACCCAACTGATATGTAACCTTTTTCTTTTCTTTTTTTTTTTTTTTTGGTCAGTCATAGGGCTTGAACTCTGGCTCTGGGTGCTGTCCCTCAGCTCTTCAGCTCAAGGCGAGCACTTTATCACTTGAGCCACAGTGCCACTTCCAGTTTTCTGGACATTTATTCGAGATGAGTCTCATGGAGGCGGGGCAGTGGGGAGAGATGGGGAGGGATGGTAAGGGGAAACAAAGAGGAGGCAACAATGCTTGATAAGAAATGTACTCATTACCTTGTTCATGTAAATATAACCCCTCTGTATGGTATTTTCACAATAAAAAATTAAAAAGTGAAAAAAAAAGTCTCATGGATTTTCCTGCCTGGGCTGGCTTTGAATCATGATCCTCAGATCTCAGCCTCCTGAGTAGCTAGGATTACAGGTGTGAGCCACTGGCACCCGGCTGAACTTTTTTTTTTAATTAAAAGGTGCCTATATAGTTTATTTTTTAATAATTTATAAGTATACATGAAAGATAACAGCAATATATATGTATGTATATAATGAGTAATGTGAGCTTTTCACATGTTGGTGAGTGCACACTCACAAAGGACAGGAACACACAGAAACTACAAAATAAAAAAGTTCCAGGGGCTGGGAAGGTGGCTCAGTGGTAGAGCGCTTGCCTTGCATGCTTGAGGCCCTGGGTTCGATTCCTCAGCACCACATAAGCAAAAAGAAAAAAGCCGGAAGTGGCGCTGTGGCTCAAGTGGTAGAGCGCTAGAGCTGAAGAGCTGAGGGACAGCGCCCAGGCCCAGAGTTCAGGCCCACAACCAGACCAAAAAAAAAAGAAGTTCCTGGTGTCATATATATATATATGAGTTTATATAAATTTTAGTATCTAGATTTTAATGCACATAAACAGGATTCTGAATTAAACACCCAGGCATCTTCCTGCCAAACTCCTTTTGTGTAAAAGTGTCACTGGCTGTGTGTGACACACCACTGAACACATGCTGTCTGTCGGGTGGGATAGGGGCCCAGCTGGGACCTCTCTCCATCAGGGCAGAGTCATAGGCCACTGTGTCTTGGGGCTTTGTGGGGGAATGGAAGCTGAGTGTAACAAGAAGTAGAGACTTTTCACTGTTACAAATGAAAAGGCTCCCCACCATTGCAAGATGCATGGAAAGGGTGACTTAAGGGTTGGAAGTGTGGGAACTGAAGGTATCAGGAGGACTTCAATCAGATGACCCTCTCCTGTGGGCGGAGGGGGAGGAGCATCCCCATGCACACCAGGGTTCAGAGCAACCCTGATGATGTCCAAAGGCAGAGAACTACAACTACCAGCCCAGGCAAGAGAGCAGCTTCCACGCACGGCTTTTGCCTCAAACTTAGGGCATTGCCACATACCCAAGGCTGAAATCCCTAAGAGTCCTTGAGCTCAGGTCATGTAAAAATTTTAAAGTAGAGAAATCCATGAGAAGTTGGCAACTTGTAACAGAATTCTGCTCTATTTTACACAAATTTCAGTGAAGCTTGTTTTTGAACATTTTCTAAAACTACAAAATATTTTTTGAAAAATTCAAAACATCCATTCACTTACTGCAAATAGTCAAAGTAGAAAAAGCAGGAATAAGCGGGGCGCTGGTGGCTCACGCCTGTAATCCTAGCTACTCAGGAGGCTGAGATCTGAGGATCGCAGTTCAAAGCCAGCCCGGGTAGGAGAGACCTTGAGACTCCGATCTCCAATAAACCACCAGAAAACTGGAAGTGGCGCTGTAGCTCAAGTGGTAGAGTGCTCGCCTTGAGCTGAAGAGCTGAGGGACAGCGCCCAGGCCCAGAGTTCAAGCCCCACGGCCGACAAAAAAAAAAAAAAAAAAGGCAGGAATATGTTTCTTTATGTTAAAAAAAATAGGAACTGGTGGCTCACACTTGTAATTGTAGCTACTTGGGAGGCTATGATCTAAAGATCACGGTTCAAAGCCAGCCTTGGCAGGAACGCCAGTGAAACACTAAATCTCTAACCACCAGGAAACCAGAAGTGGTGTTTGTAGCTTAAAGTAATAGAGTAATAGAGCTCAGGGATAGGGCCTAGGCCCTGAATTCAAGCCCCATGACCCCCCCTCAATTATATTACACCCAACGAACAAACTGGACTTAACATTTCATTTAAGAAAATTCAACATGATCAGTTTTTGAAAAAAAAAACCATATGGCAATCACACTGAAGAAAGTTTAATGTTTGAGGATTATATGGTTTATAATCAAACTGTAGAACAGTCTTCAGGAAAGCTGGAATGCAAAGTGCGGAGATCAATTTCAGTATCATCAATGTCCTTATCTCCAGGCCCAATTGTATCAGCTTCATGGTTTTTAGGGTATTGTGGATGCTCACTATGTGCCTTCAGACTTCTGCATTGTCTGCATTGGATTTTAAAATCACATTAGCTTTATTATCCTGGTAAC